TTCACCCAGGACTTGATCCTGGATGAGCGGGCAGATCTGGCGTGCATCACGGAGATCTGGTTGGACGAAGCAGGAGGTGTAAATTTAACCCAGCTCTGCCCACCGGGATTCTCCGTGCAGCACCAACCAAGATCCGGAGGGCGGGGAGGCGGGGTTGCGGTGGTCTATAGAAATACCATCCCTCTGACCAGGGGCCCCATCCCGCAGTCAACCAATTTTGAATGTGTCCATCTGAGAGTGGGTGACCGGGACAGAATAGGGATTCTGTTAGTGTACCGCCCACCTCGCTGCACTACAGTCTCCCTACCTGAGCTAGCAGGGGTGGTCTCGAGCTTGGCGTTGGAGTCCCAACGGCTTCTTGTGCTGGGGGACTAGGAGCAGCTCAGGACTTCATGTCTTCCATGGCAACCATGGGGCTGTCCCAATGGGTATCTGGCCCACTCACAGTGCTGGACATACGTTGGACTTGGTTTTCTGTCAGGGATGGGATGACTAGGGCAATAGACACGATTGCTCCAGAACGTCCCCTCTCAAGTAGCCAAGCTAAACCAGCCCCTTGGTTCAACGAGGAGCTGGCAGCGATGAAGCGAAGGAAGAGGGAACTAGAGAGCGTGTGGCGTTCGGATCCGAGCGAGCCAAACCGAACACGGTTTGTGTCCTTTTTAAGGGCATATGCCGTGGCAATAAAGGCTGCCAAGAAAGCTTTCTTCGCAGCCACTATTGCGTCTGCGAAGAACCATCCAGCGGAGCTGTTCCGAGTTGTCAGAGGCCTTTTAAACCCCACCACTCAGGATGGGAGCCCTGACAACTCAGTAGCTCGCTGTGAAGCTTTTGCTCGGTTCTTCGCGGACAAAGTCGCTTTGATTCGTTCTGGACTGGATTCCATATTAACGGCAGTCTCTGAGGATGTAGCTGGAGCATCTGCTTGCCAGGTTTTGATGGATTCATTTCAATTGGTGAAACCCGAGGATGTGGACAAGATACTGGGAGGAATGAGGCCTACCACATGCATCCTAGACCCCTGTCCATCCTGGCTTTTGAAGCAAGCCAGAGGGGGATTGGCCGAGTGGGTAACGGTGGTGGTTAATGCCTCGCTTCGGGAAGGCAACATTCCAGCGAGCTTAAAACAAGCTATAATAAAACCGCTGTTGAAAAAACCATCACTGGACCCCACTCAATTTGACAACTTTCAGCCAGTTTCCAATTTCCCCTTCTTGGGCAAAGTCCTGGAACGTGTGTGGTGGCCTCACAACTCCAGGTATTCTTGGACGACACGGATTATCTGGATCCGGCGCAGTCTGGCTTTAGGCCGGGACATGGAACCGAGACAGTCTTGGTCGCCTTAGTGGATGATCTACGCCGGGAGCTCGACAGGGGGAGTGTGTCCCTGTTGGTTCTGCTGGACCTCTCAGCGGCCTTCAATACCGTCGACCATGGTATCCTTCTGGGACACCTCGCGGGGATGGGCCTTGGAGGAACTGTCCTGCAGTGGCTCCGGTCATTCCTCGAGGGTCGATCTCAGAAGGTGTTATTGGGAGACACCTGTTCTACCTCACAACCATTGTCTTGTGGGGTTCCTCAGGGTTCGATCTTGTCTCCCATGTTGTTTAACATCTACATGAAGCCGTTGGGTGAGATCATCCGGAGTTTCGGGGTACGGTGTCATCTGTACGCAGATGATGTCCAACTCTGTCACTCCTTCCCACCTGCTACTAAGGAGGCTGTCAAAGTCCTGAACCGGTGCCTGGCTGCTGTAACGGTCTGGATGAGGGCGAACAAATTGAAACTGAATCCAGGCAAGACAGAGGTACTCCTGGTCAGTCGCAAGGCCGAACAGGGTATAGGGTTACAGCCGGTGTTGGACGGGGTTACACTCCCCCTGAAGACGCAGGTTCGCAGCTTGGGTGGACTCATCGCTGAGCCTGGAACCCCAGGTTTTGGCGGTGACCAGGGGAGCATTCGCACATTAAAACTTGTGCGCCAACTGCAACCGTACCTTGGGAAGTCTGACTTGGCCACGGTAGTCCACGCTCTGGTTACATCCCGTCTTGACTACTGCAACGCTCTCTACGTGGGGTTGCCTTTGAAGACGGCTCGGAAGCTACAAATGGTCCAACGATCGGCAGCCAGGTTGTTAACAGGAGCGGCACTCAGGGAGCACACCACTCCTCTGCTGCGCCAGCTCCACTGGCTGCCAATTTGCTACCGGGCACAATTCAAAGTGCTGGCTTTAGCCTTTAAAGCCCTAAACCGTTCTGGCCTGACCTATCTGTCCGAACGCATCACCCCCTATGAACCAGTTAGGACATTAAGATCGTCCGGGGAGGCCCTGCTCTCGATCCCGCCAGCCTCACAAGCACGGCTGGCGGGGACGAGAGACAGGGCCTTCTCCGTGGTGGCCCCTCGGCTGTGGAACGCCCTTCCCGCAGACGTTAGATCGGCTCCCTCCCTGCTGGTGTTCAGGAGAAGAGTGAAGACCTGGCTCTTTGAACAGGCGTTCAATTAAGCAGTGCAATCAATTGACTGAGTTTGGACTGGAATAATGGATGAGGAGATCGGATTGTGATTTTACTGATGAGACGTGACGGATTAGTTATTGGATGTATTGATGTTTGTCATTTACTGATGTATTGTTGTATTGTTTTAACTGCTTTAGTGACTGTTTAGATGCTAATGCTATGCACTTTGTATATTGTCCTGTTGTAAACCGCACTGAGTCGCCTACGGGCTGAGATAGTGCGGTATACAAATAAAGTAAATAAATAAATAAATAAATACTAGAGAAAGAATGAAGCTTTTATCATCTGGCACATTGTCATTTACACTGTCAAATCAATGCAGTTTGACACCACTTTCACTGCCCTGTGTCAATACTAGGGAATGAAGAGAGTTCCAGTTTGGTGAGACACCAGCACTCTTTGCTGAAGGATGGCAAAAGCCTTGTAAAACTAAAGCACCCATGATTCCATACCACTGATTCATGACAAATAAAGTGGCACAAACTGCATTCTTCCTACAGTGTAGACGCACCCTTAGATATATCTTTGGTTGGGTCACAGCTGCAGGCAAGTGGACCAACCAGATGATGAGGACAGGCTCTGCTTAAACCTGTGTTTCTCAACCTGGGGGTCATAGAGGTTGCCAAAGGTCATCAAAAACACAGTATTTTCTGTTGGTCATGTGGGTTCTGTCTGGGAAGTTTGGTCCAATTCCATTGCTGGTGGAGTTTGGAATGCTCTTTGATTGTAGGTGAACTATAAATCCCAGCAACGACAACTCCCAAATGTCAAGGTCTATTTCCCCAAATGCCACAGGTATTCACATTGGGGCATATTGAGTATTTGTACCAAGTTTGGTCCAGATCCATCATTGTTTGAGCCCACAGTGCATTCTGAACTACAACTCCAGAACTCAAGGTCAACAGCCACCAAATGCTTCCAGTATTTTCTGTTCATCATGGGGGTTCTGTATATGAAGTTTGGTCCAATTCTATTGTTGGTGGGATTCAGAATGCTCTTTGATTTTAGGTGAACTATAAATCCCAGCAACTACAACTCCCAAATGTCAAGGTCTATTTCCCTAAAGTCCACCAGTGTTTACATTTGGGTATATTGAGTATTCGTACCATCATTGTTTGAGTCTACAGTGCTCTCTGGATGTAGGTGAACTACAACTCCAGAACTCGAGGTCAATGCCCACTAAACGCTTCCAGTATTTTCTCTTGGTCATGGGAGTTTTGTGTGCCAAGTTTGGTTCAATTCCATCGCTGGTGGAGTTTGGAATGCTCTTTGATTGTAGGTGAACTATGAATCCCAGCAACTACAACTCCCAAATGTCAAGGTCTATTTTCCCAAACTCCACCAGTATTCACATTGGGGCATATTGAGTATTCATACCAAGTTTGGTCCAGATCCATCATTGTTTTGAGTCCACAGTGCTCTCTTGAGGTAGGAGAACTACAACTCCAGAACTCAACGTCAATGCCCACCAAACGCTTCCAGTATTTTCTGTTGGTCATGGGGGGTTCTGTGTGCCAAGTTTGGTTCAATTCCATCACTGGTGGAGTTCAGAATGCTCTTTGATTGTAGGTGAACTATAAATCCCAGTAACTACAATTCCCAAATGACAAAATCAACCCCCCCCCCCAACCGTACCAATATTCAAATTTGGGCATATCGTGTATTTGTGTGAAATCTGGTCCAGTGAATGAAAATACATCCTGCAGATCAGATATTTATATGACGATTCATAACAGTAGCACAGTTACAGTTATGAAGTAGCAACGAAAATAATGTTATGGTTGGGGGCCACCACAACATGAGGGGCTGTGGCATTAGGAAGGTTGAGAAAAACTAGTGTTGATGTACCTTTAGATTTCTCTTTGGTTGCCTCAGAGCTGCAGGCAAGTGGAGTATAGAATCACAGAATCATGGAGTTGGAAGAGACCTCATGGACCATCCAATCCAACCCCCTGCCAAGAAGCAGGAAAATTGCATTCAAAGCATCCCCGACAGACGACCATCCAGCCTCTGTTTAAAAGCTTCCATAGAAGGAGCCTCTACCACACTCCAGGGCAGAGTTCCACTGCTGAACAGCTCTAAGGGTTAGGGAGTTCTTCCTCATGTTCAGATGGAATCTCCTCTCGTGTAGTTTGAAGCCATTGTTCTGCATTCTAGTCTCCAGGGCAGCAAAAAACAAGCTTGCTCCCTCCTCCCTATGACTTCCTCTCACGTATTTATACATGGCCCTCTTCATGTCTCTTCTCAGCCTTCTCTTCTTCAGGCTAAACATGCCCAGCTCTTTAAGCCACTCCTCATAGGGCTTGTTCTCCAGACCCTTGATCATTTTTGTCGCCCTCCTCTGGACACATGCCAAAGGAGGGCGACTAAAATGATGTTGATCGACCAGATGATGAAGACGGGCTCCGCGTAAACCAAGCACGATCTCTTTAGGTCGACAACTTTGGTTATTGAGCATCCAAAGGTGCGTCCACACTGCAGAATGAGAGCACTTGGACTCCACTTCAAGCGCCCTGGCTCCATCCTGATGGAATCCTGGGCTCTGTAGTTTGTTGTATTTGGAGCTCTCAGGCAGAGAAAGGACAAACGTCTCCAAATCCTGTAATTCTCTAGCCTTGAGCCAAGGCAGTGCAGCTGCACCATGAGGGGGAGAGAGCGTGCGAGAGGGAGGGAAGCAAGAACTACGACTCCCATGGTGCTCCACGGCAAGGAAAGGTATATAAAGGGAGGAATGGCTTGCGAAGAGGCAGTCGGAGGCGGGAGGCTGCTTTTGCAGAGAGAGAGAGAAGGCGAGAGAGAGAGAGAAGAAGGAGCGTCCCGGGATGTTGCGGACAGGCGGCTTTGCCTTCTCTCCGGATGGGATTTGGCTTCACTTGGGAGGGCTTGACAAGCAGAGCAGAGCTGGAATGCTCCAGATGGTGGAAGGAAGCAACTGCGGAGAGAGCTGCTCTTCCTCCAAATCTTCCCAATCCCACAAACGGAGCAGAAAACGGATAGAATTGAGACTTGCCTCTCCATCTCCTTCACCTCTTGGACCCGTGGAAACCAACCTGAGCCGGATGCCTCCTGGGTGATGGGAAGGCTCTCCTTGCTCCTTCCAGCTCCAGATGAAGCGCATGGGACCTTCTTCCAACCAGGATTATTCTTTGGCCTTTTTTTCCTTTTTCTTCTTCCAAGATGTGAAGCTCTTCCCCGTTTTGGATGGTTGTCTCGCACCAAATAGTGCTTTTTTTCCTCCCTAATGTGGAATATAATGCCCCCAAAGCAGTCTCTTGTCCAAGGAGGTTCTCAAGGTAAGGAGAAGTCCCCATTGCCTTCTGTTCCTTTCCAATATCTATCTGCAGAGTTTCAGAGTGGGGTCCAATGTGATTGATGCTTCCATCCATGCTGGGGACTGAATGAAGTCCAGCTCTGTGGGATCGTGGGAGCTGGAGCTCTGACAAGCTCTTTTGCCTTCTCTTCCATCTAGTGCTGGTGCCTCACCCAGTTGCAGCTCACAGGATCCCATACTTACACCATGGTAGTTAAAGTGGGCTCAATCTGCCCTCATTTTACAATGTAGATGCACCCTATGAGAAAACTGCCTAGCTGTAAAGTTGGCAGATCCTCTCTTGTCATGGTAGAAATCCAACTCCAAAGGATGATGTTGTAGAGCAGTGGTTCTCAACCTTCGTAATGCCACAACCCCTAAATACAGTTCTTCATGTTGTGATAACCCCCAACTATAAAATTATTTTCATTGCTACTTCCACTGTAAATTTGCTACTGTTACTAATCGTATTGTAAATATCTGATCTGAAGGATATATTTTCATTCATGGGACCAAATATGGCACAAATACCGGATATGTCCAAATTTGAATACTAGTGGGGATTTGGGGGGTGGGGTGATTTTGTCATTTGGGAGTTGTAGTTGCTGGGATTTATAGTTCACCTACAATCTAAGAGCACTCTGAATGCTACCAACGGTAGAATTGAACCAAACTTGACACACAGAACTCCCACGACCAACAGAAAATACTGGAAGGGTTTGGTGGGCATTGACCTTGAGTTTTGAAGTTGTAGTTCACCTACATCCAGAGCGCACTGTGGACTCAAACAATGATAGATCTGGACCAAACTTGGCACAAATACTCAATATGCCCAAATGTGAACACTGGCGGACTTTGGGGAAAATAGCTCTTGACATTTGGGAGTTGTAGTTACTGGGATTTATAGTCCACCTACAATCAAATGACGTTCTGAACTCCATCAATGATAGAATTGGACCAAACTTCTCACAAAGAACCCCCATGACCAACACAAAATACTGTGTTTTCTGATAGTCTTTGGCAGACCCTCTGACACCCCCTTGCGACCCCCTCTGGGGTCCCAACCCCCAAGTTGAGAAACATTGTTTTAAAGTGACTGCCTGGACCACCTCCAAGGGCTGGCTTCAGTGTTGAGCCTTACTCCAGAAGAGCTGGAATCTAAATGGGTTTCTGCTGGAGATGCCTTTAAAAAGGCAGTGGAACTCTCTGCCTCAGAATGTGGTGGAAGCTCCATCCTTGGAAGCTTTTAAACAGAGGCTGGATGGCCATCTGTCAGGGGTACTTTCATTGTGCTTTCCCTGCATGGCAGGGGGTTGGACAAGATGTCCCACGTGGTCTCTTCCAACTCTCTCATTCTAGGATTCCATAATTTTAAGACTTTGTCTCTTGCCATGACTGGCTGGCTTGTTTCTGAGCCCTTGACTTTATCCTCAGTGTTGCAGAAACATCTCCAGGGGTTAGACATTGGGATTCCTCTTCCCCACCCCCACCCCTCCTGTGTCCCTTTCCCATAGAGATCCTGATGGTCTTTCTGCCCTTGCTGTATTTTTCAAAAATCAATCTCTGGGGGCTCAGGTGCTGTTAACTCTGTAACTTAATACCAAGTCCTTCCTCTGGGTTAATGGGCTCGAATGGTTGCTTTAGGCTGCTCTCTTCCCTATATAATCAGCCTTTGTTTTCATTGCTGTGGCCAGCACATCCTCTCCCAGCCCTCCCCCCTCAGTGAAGTCAGCAGTTTCTTCCCACTGGGATATATTTTCATGTGCCTTCCAGCCAAGGTGTGGGGATTCCTCCCTCAGCCTCCTTCTGCACTGGAGTGACTCACCTGCCAAGACAGAGGAGAGGCCCAGAGTTGCTTGTCTGATAGCACCACCACTACCACCACCAGCAGCAGCTCTGTCCTGGAGAAAGACATAGCCCATGTTGGTCTTGTATTGGCACGTGAAGCATCACTGGGACTGACTATCAGGAGAAAGCAGTTTGGAACATAAGCTTCCCTGGATGCATTCTGCTTTGTTGGATGCAGATCTGGCTTTGTGCTCCTTTCCTGTCTCCTCCCCTGCTCTCTTCCACACTTGTAATGGGAAGCTGTCATTTGATCAAGAGACCTCCACCACATCCTTTTACACAATTCTGGTGTTTTTAGAATATATGTAAAGGGATGTTATTTGCAGGCTGATCAAAGCAGTGTCTGCAAGTGTGTGTTGCTCTCCTGTCATCATTTCCTACCTAGGCTTATTGATTTATTTATGGATAGTAGAGTTCTCTTGCCACAAAGTATTTCAAAATTGCTTGCAAATCATTAATTTGACAGTTCAGGGTTCAATATATATATATATATATAGAGTCATTGTTGTGATCTTTGTTCATCTCTTCCATTTTTCCAGAGGCTAAAAATAGTATCTTTCATATGCTGGAATGCATTTTTTGCTCTTCTGTCAAGGTACAATTCTACCTTGAAAGTTCTGTTGTCAGTGGCAGAGAGAAGTCCATTAGCTTAAATGGTGTGATGGACATTCTAGGATAGATCCAAAGAACACCTGGATTATTCTAGGTACGCCTGTGCAAGTTCTTCTGTAAACCACATACATTTCATCCAATTAGTCAGGGTTGTGAAATTTCTATTTGTGTACTTTTTTCATGTCAGGAGCGACTTGAGAATCTGCAAGTTGCTTTTGGTGTGAGAGAATTGGCCATCTGCAAGGACGTTGTCCACGGGATGCCCAGATATTTTACCATCCTGTGGGAGGCTTCTTTCGTGTCCCTGCATGAGAAGCTGGAGCTGACAGACAGGAGCTTATCTTGCTCCCTGGATTTGAACCACAGACATTTTGGTCAGTAGTCCTGCCAGCACAGGGGTTCAACCCACTGTGCCACCAGGGGCTCCTATTAGTGTACTAATCCATTCCTTTGTGACATTATACGGAGCCATTCACTGTCAGTAAAAAATGTTAGGCAGTGTCAACATGGGAATGGGAGTGAACTGTATTACTTGTTTTCATTTTCTTTTCTTTCTGAGCTCCTTTCCTGGAACTCATATGTGTGTCTCTCGCAAAGGCAGGTGAACCTCCCATTTTCAAGATAGCTGCATAATCTTTTCCAAGTGGAAACAGAACTTTAGTCGAGAGTTGCCAAACTTTTCTTTGTCATAGGGCAGGGGTAGGAAGCCTGTGGCTCTTAGGCCCACTTCCCATCACCCTTGGACATATTGGCAGTGATACTGGAGACTGTAGTCAAGCAGCATGTGAAGGGCAGCAGGTTACTTATCTCTAGTGTAAGGAGTTGGATGTATTGACTATGATAAAAAGCAACATTTGGAACTTGCATTTAAAGGATGCCCTGCCTGAAACAATCAGCTTGCCACTCAAACAAAGTGCTTACATGAAAATACACAAATATGGAGTGTTTAGTACTTGGAAAATAGGAAAGATCTGCATCCCTTTCTGCTGTAAAGGAATCTGTTGGGTTATGAAGTAATTCATAGCCGCAAAACCACACTGGACATATTGTTTGGTTTAGCAGTTCTCAGTCACTCTCCAGAAATCTTGAAATGTAATGGGTTTTTTCCCTGCCTCATACCTTTGTGGAACCTGTATGCACCTGATATGGAGTGAAAATCTATACATACTAATCTTTCATGTCTACTTTTAATGTGAAGGTTTTATTACTCTGGCCTTGCAATGTTTGATTTCAAATAATGCCATAAGACAAATAGTTTTCTGCAAAAATATTTCTGTTGAACATTTCCTGGGAGATTCATTTTATACGAGGAACATCTTCTGGCCTGTTATCTGTGGCAGAATTTCTCATTATGACAAACCTACACTACCAGAAGTGTTGAAACTTCATAGGCACACAAATCCCCGAACCCCTCAGGTGTCATTGACTGCTCAAGCTGCCTCTTTTCATGAGTTCAGTGAAAGTAAATAACACTCTTAACTTTCTCGTTTGAGAAAATAAAGCTCTTGGTTTTCTCGCTTGAATGGATAGGTCAGATAATCACACAAAAAGGAAGCCAATGGTGGGTGCAAGTGTGCTCTCAGAAGAGAGCTGACCTTGTCTGTGAAAGTTATGTCCCTTCAACACTATTTTGCAGGTTCTTGTTCAGCAGTGCCTTCTAAAAATTGGGTTTACACAGCCGAATATCAACAGGTGCAATGTGGGAAGTTTCAAATGCTATACAGAATGTGAATAAATACTGTATTGTATTGTCGAAGGCTTTCATGGCTGGAATCACTAAGTTTTTGTGGGTTTTTTCGGGCTATATGGCCATGTTCTAGAGGCATTTCTCCTGACGTTTCGCCTGCATCTATGGCAAGCATCCTCAGAGGTGAGGTCTCACCTCTGAGGATGCTTGCCATAGATGCAGGTGAAACGTCAGGAGAAATGCCTCTAGAACATGGCCATATAGCCCGAAAAAACCCACAAGAACTTAAATACTGTATTGTCTAGTACTTTCATGGCCGAAATCACTGGGTTGTTGCAGGTTTTTTGGGCTCACAACCACCGAGGATGCCTGCCATAGATGCAGGCAAAATGTCAGGAGAGAATGCTTCTAGAACATGGCCATACAGCCCAAAAAACCAACAACAACCCACTGAATAAATACTATCCTGGAGATGTTTTGTGATGGAGATGTTGAAGTGTGTTGCCCAAGATTGTCTTTAACTAGGTACTGCTCTGTGTGAAAGAATTGAAAAGGAAACAAGGGTGAGATTACAAAAATGGGGAAAATATTAGACTTTTAATGCTAACATTTATTGTTTACTCTCACTGACAAACTGTGTTGGCAGTTCAAAGAAAGCATGGATGAATATCTCCCCCCTCCCATTTACAGTTTTGCGGTTTTAGAGCATTTCAGCGCAATTGTTATGTCTTGTAACTGTTTTGACTTGAAAAATAGTATTACCTGGGGAATCAGTTCATGTCAAGAAAGCTAACCTCTGATATCACAGAATGGTGCCATTGCTGCAATCTGTGAAA